TCTTCCCCCCTTCGAAGATGTCCGTACAGAACTGGCAGCACCAAGGGTCTCCCTTCAGGCTGCCCGTGGAGGTGTTTAGCCATAGGGAAGCAGATTGGGTTTGCCCTTCGGCGCTTCTTTTGCGAGGGTACAACAGCTGAGCTGCCTGGGTGTAGGAGGTTGCCATGCAAACTGCCCCCTCCTTTCTCACCCACCACACACGGAGATAGCATGAAAGCACAGGCGGCTGACGACGCCTGGGGAGTGGGTGAGAACTCTTCATAAGGCTCAAATGCCTCCCTGTCAGTTCTTGGGGGTGTTGCAAGTGCTGTGTACTTTCAGCATCTTGTTTGGAGGCTGGTAGAGGAAGGAGGCTCCATGTGAGATATCACTTGGTCATCAGAAACCTAACGTCTTTTTGGACTTGCATTCTTTTAGCCTGTTTCTTTTTTTTTTTTTTAAAGCCGTCAATGTTGGAGGATGGAATGGACGTAATTGTATGTTACGTATATGGCTTATTTATATAAATCTGGGGAACTGTGTTTTTACAATAAAAATTTAGTAAAATGTCCTTTTCTGTGTATGTTCTAAAATGAAAATCCCAAAGTGGAGGATGAGAAGGAAAAGTTCAGGATACACAGAAGTAAGCGAGCAATGGTGTAGTTCAGGGGGAGGACAGTGACAAGTCCATCCTGTGTGTTTCCTGCGTGACTCATAGGTACCAGAGCCGGGCTCTCATCCTCCCTGTTCTGTTCCTTTCACCAATGCAAGCCACAGTGCCGAGGAAGGTTGCCAGGCCCACAGTGCTGCTGGCCAAAGTCCTCAGTCCACGCAGCCCTCTGCCCAGCCAGTGTGCCTCTGCTCTGACCTTTGGGGTCTTGTATTTGTGGTTTCCTTGATTTTTTCAGACTTTCCTCTTGGAACGTTGCCAGCAGTACCGCTGGCACCTCGTGTTTTGTGAGAGGCCACACTCTAGTCCACAGTTCAAGTCCAGAGGACCTTTCTACGTTAGTCCCTGTGGTGGATCAAACTGGTGGGAGGGTCTTACAATTCCTTTTGTTCCTTCTCTGAACTTCGGTGTGGTGCTAAAGATGTTCTTCCTCAATTTTGTCATGTCAGGAGCTCTTTTCTAAGCCAGGAATTGAAGTAATATGAAGACAACTAGAGATTATTTCAAATTCGGACCATCTGTGCTGGCTGGGCCCAATGTCCTCTCACATAATTCCTTATTGATCAAGTGGAAGGGAATTGCAAGGTAGGGGGGACACATAACTGGTGTCGTAAGGTAGTGGGTACCACGATACCTGCCCTGTGCGGTGAACCACAGTGGCAGGATCGCTGTGTAGTGTAGAAGAGTCCAAATCCTTGGAGCTGTCTCTTGGTGTGGTTCCTCTGTCTCACTCCAGCTGGCTGCCTTTACGTGCAGATCGCACTGGTGACTGGCGCTTTCTGCAGCTGGCAGGTGGAAAAGATTATTTTCTCTTCCACAACTTTCTATCTCCTCTAGATTCAGAGGAAAAGGTAAAGCCAGGGTCTTTGGTTGGAGCATGATGATACCTTCAGCCGTACTGTAGTCGCTTTAATCGTGCCTCTTTCACGCTAATGAATAATTAACCGCTGTGTGCCTCTGCACTGACATGCTGGTCCTGGGCATCTGTGAGGGTCGTGGTGACCTGCGGGTGATCACGAGGCGCTGCTTACCTCAGCACACAATCTTTTGGCCTCGTTACTAGTTTGTTATCTCTTTGGTCACCAGGTGACCAAAGCGAATGTCTCCATGACCCTCATCAGCAATAAAGCGAACGTTGACCGCTCCCCAGCCTTCTCGAAGCATGAGCGTGCAGACAGATTGAGGTGAGCTAGGTGTGAATTTGCGGCAAGTCAGCTCCCACGCCGTAACTCCCCCAAGGTAAGTGCAAGGTGGCTCACAGGAGAGCGGCAGGCTATTTTTGTTTCCAAGGATAACAGTTTTCCCACAAAAAGTTACCACGAAGAAGCCAACCCATCTTAGCTGGTTTGCGTGCCCCTCACGGGTGCTGTATGCAAAAACACAAACCTCAGCTTCCTAAAATTCGGCTGGGCGTGTGAAGGCCCCTGCTCCCAGGCACGTGTTCAATAAGGCAGATCAGTTTTCCTGCCTGTTGCAAGTTGGGCTGTGCTGCACTGGCCCCTGTGTGTTAGAAAAAAGACTTTCGCCCTCCTTTTTGCTGTGGAACTGGCACATTTTTGGGCACGCCTGTAATTTTCAGGGCAGTACGATTCATAGATCAGAGGTGGTCACTTGTCCTGAGTTTTTCCTGCAAGAGACCCCCTCTGCAGCTGATGCATTGGAGCCTCTGGGGCTTATCTGCTTTTGCCTACAAAACTGCAGTCTCTTGCTGAAGGATTTTACTTTACAGATTTTCAGCAGAAAGCTGGGGAAGTTGGCAACAGGTGGTTTGCTATTGTCCTCTCCTCTCCCTCTCATTTCTTGCCCCCTGCGTATCGCTGCCATTACCCATCAAAGCATCGGGCTGAGTCAGATGTAGAAAAGGAGATGAAAAATGTAGGGTGATGCATCGGTGCCAGCTGAAATGACCCATTCTATCCGCCCATCCCGGAAAGCTGTGATAGCAGCTCAGAGGGCTGCGCTTCATGACATCATCCCTCCCTGCTGAGGGGAGATGGGCAACATCATTATCAGCTGCCGGGGAGTCCGGACTCGGTGCCAGGAGTGGAAATGTCGTCGGATGTACGGCTCCTCCTCCACCCCAAGGGTGACTCGAACGTGCTGGGAAGGGGAGGAAGGCGGTGGGGAGGT